TCACATGTTAGTATAAATTATCATATTATTATTTCCATCAGATGCTTATTTGATCATGTTTTTCATATTATTCAAATATATGCTATGATTACATATCATTTCTTAGGATATTATTATTACATGTTTCCATTTATCATTTATGAATACCATATTATATGATATTCATGCATACAACATATACCCTATCTTTATGATTGATACACAATGTTATAAGCATGTTAGGATAGTCTTATAATCATATTAAGCATGATTATCATATATACATCAAGGCAGCATCATTATAAATCATTTCATTAGTTCATATGCATTCATATTAGCTCTTAAGCTTCATGCATTATCTTACACATACTTTGAGATGATATAATTAGCTCATGACCTTCAAACATAGCTCACATCACCATAATCATATATGGCAGCAAGGTATTTAGCTCATAACAGCTCAATATCATGGACTTACCTTGTTTCCTTGAACATATAGGTACATTGGAGTGTGATGCACGATGAGGCAACTTGGTAGAGTATTTGGACGTCATATGCAGCTCACAAACAGCTCACAAATATCATGGCAGCTCGTGGAACACTAAGGAAAGCTCAACTTAGTTGGACGAGCTAGCATGTAGCTGAACTTAGCTGGAGGAGAGCTTCGGACCAAAGTGTTGAAAAGTGGACTAAAGGTAGCTGGAAGTAGCTGGGAGAGTAGCTGAGGAGCGGAGAAGACCAAAGCTAACTAGCTTGAGTTTATCAAGCTATAACTCACCTAGTTAGCTACCAAGACACTCATCTAGCTTACCTTGAAGCTAGTTCATCTCTATGCTGCCCAATGGATGCCATGTCATCTAGATACACATTGGAAAGCTAATTCACGCCTAGTTGTTGCCTATCTTCATTCCATGGACTTCAAGACATCATCCTATGGTTGCAACCTCATCAAGCATAGCAAGAAGACCCATGTGCATTCATGTAGGCTGCCATGTGCATCATTTAAGCATGTGCACTTCATGTGACATCAAATTGGCGCCAAAACACCAAGGGATACTTCCTATTCGGCCAAAGACTCTTTCCTCTTCATTTTGGCGCCCAAATAACTTCCAAATGCATTCAAATCATCCTTAGGGCCGAACCAACACATAAACATTCGGCCAAGAGCATGTATTTTCATTAAAGTCTTGTTTTTTCATTAAAAATCATGTCATTTTAGGAAGGTACAAGGGCTGGCCGAACCAACATGTACCTATTCGGCCAAGTCCCTTCAAAAACTATAAATAGGCCATTATATTTCATTTGTAAGTAGACCTTTTTATGTAATGAAAGTGAGATTATTCTCTTCCTTAACTCCTGATGACTTTTATCGACTTATCAAGTATAATTTATACTTGTGGCGTCAACCCCTTCTTCTTTCATCTTGATACTTCTGGTTCCTAGTTCATATAACTAGTGGGTCAAAGTACTTAACACCACCCCTTGAAGAAACAATATAAAGATTGGGTCTTTGCTCTCTATAGTATTGGTTCTTCTTTGAGCGTTCTTCAAGATACTATCCTCACAACCATCCATCGCCATAACCATATCCATTTCAATCATCTTCCGCTTTCATCTCTTAATTATTAAACATCCCACCTCTTCACCCTTACGTTTACCACCTTAACCCTTCTATTTTTGAGCCATTCACTTTGCAGGTTGTTTTGCTTCCTTCCTAGATCCACAATCAAACGAGAAGGTAGAATTACCTTACATCACATTGTCTTGCTCATAGATTATAATTGACTTTGGTGACAACATCCAAAGAAGTTATTGCAATAGCACAATTTTCTCATATTTAACTATCATCATAAATCTAGTTGTCTTTTTGTGTAAGAAACAAGATCAGTTGAAAGATGCCCAAGCAAGTTATATTTTAGATATGATTGCTCTTGAAGGACTAGACACAAGAAATGGAAAAAATCAAATTGGCACTTTACAACTTGCAGGAGATGCAAGGTGGGGTTCACATTTTAATTCTCTTTATAGCTTGCTCAAGATGTTTGATGCTACTTGTTCTATTCTTAAGAATATCATAAGTGATGGAAATTTGACTCAAATAAGTAAAGCAAATAGTGTTTATGATGTGATGACATCTTTTGAGTTTGTATTCATCTTGCACTTCATGATAGATCTCTTGAGCATTACTGATGATCTTCGTAAAGCTTTACAACGTAAATCCCAAAATATACTAAATACTTTACATTTAGTATCAAGTACAAAAAATCTTAGACAAATATTTAGAGAAGAATGGTGGAATCCTTTACTTGAAAAGGTAATGTCGTTTTGTGATAAACATTATATAGAGATTCCTGATATGAATTTTCCATATAAATGAGGGAGAGGGAGGTCTCGACTTCAACGAGATGTCATCTCAGTTGGGCATCATTATCATGTTAATATATTTATTTCTGCTATTGATTCTCAAATACAAGATATGAACATCAGATTCGAGGATGACATGGTGGAGTTACTGAAGCTTAGTTCTACTCTAGATCCAAGGGATGATTAGCTTGCAAATAAATTTTATTCAGAAGACTTCACAGAGCAAGAAAAGTTGAATTAGGAAAGTTCAAATAGAACATTTTGAATTAGAAGCTAAAGGGAGTCTTGAATTGAGAAAGGCATCAACAATATTAGAACTTTGTCAAGTATTAGCAAAGACTAAAAAGTCAATTATTTATCATCTCTTTGATCGACTTGTTCATCTTGTTTTGACTCTTCCTGTTTCTACTTCGACTACAAAGCTGGCTTTCTCGACCATGAAGCCAGTGAAGACTCACTTGCGTAACAAAATGGAGGATGATTTTTTGTCGAGCTACTTAATAACATATACTGAGAAGGAAATTACTCGTGATTTACCTATAGATTCTCTTATTGATGACTTTGATGTAATGAAAGAGCGTCAGACACAATTTTGAATGCCTATTTTTGACAAGTAAAAAAGATCCTCTTTGTAATATTTTGTAGGATTGTAATTAATACTTCTATAGTTTTCTTGGAAGTTTTTTTAGTTTATTAAATATAAAGTTTGCCCCCTGGCATAAAATCTTGCGTCCATCCTTGATTATGAACATAATTATTTGGACCTAGAACTTTTAAGAAGAATAACATTTTCTTTTAATCATTAAAATCATTTGATAAATTCTACTTGAATCAAATTTTAAACACATAATATATTTAGGATTCAAATTACAACAACAAAAAACAGGTATTATTTAATTTGATTAAACAATGCACAAATTTGTATGTTCCATCTAATTATGGAATATAGCTAATTAGAAAAACATAATTAATATTTTTAATTTTAACAAAAATAATATGCTAGTGTTAAAATAAAAATAAATTCTAAAATTATATAATTTTTAATATTTATTGTTTATAAATATTTGTATTATATATACAATATTGTATACAATATATTGTTAGGACTTACTTGTCAGATACGATATGAAAATATACATGTTTAATGAATTGAAAATAAAATAATATTCATTCGTACGAACCAAACTACTTGAGTGGTTAAAAGAATGTTTATTATTCTTAGAGATCTCGAGTTCGAGCATCAACGACTGCAACAGGGGTGAGTAAACATTTATTATCAAATGATTGAGATTATTTAGAACATATTCTATTTGTAATCATCTTAGTGGTAAAACATTTTCTTTAAGGAACCCAAGTTCAAACGACTATATATATATATATATATAGAGAGAGAGAGAGAGAGGGGTGTGCGTGTTGTTGATAGGCTATGTTCATTTGTTAAAATAAATAAATGAGAATGAACACAATATTTATGTTCATTTAGTAAATAAACAAACATGTATAGAGGTGTGTTCGATTCATTTATGTTTGCAAACAAGTTCGTGTATTAGCTCATTTAAGTTAGTTTATCGATTCGTTCATTTATGTTCACAAACTCGTTTATAAGCTCGTTTACTTGTTATTTTTAAAATTTCAAATATTGGTGAATTTAGGCACTAAAGTAAACACATCAAGAAATTTAAAGTTTAAATTATGAAGTTTAAGGAGTTTAAGTACTAGTGGAATAATTTTACTATCTTTTAGGTTGCGATGAACATATTCGTGAATGTTAAATGAAATTATTAGAAAATACTGTAGAAACATATAAACGAACATATACTCAAACGTTAAACGAACATATTCACGAACGAACACGAACACAATCTTAAAAATTTAAATGAACACGAAAAAAATGATTTTTTTTTTAAAAATAAACAAATACAAACACAATATTATTCGTTCAAACTTTATTCATTTACAATTCCTAACACCACTAAGTAGCTCTTTTTTTTATCATCTTAAAATATAAAAAAAAGGTATTTTTAGCATTCAATCTTACCACCATTTATAAATTTGGCTCACTTTTACAATGGAGGGATTAATATGCTCCTAAAACTATTCTACAATGACTAATTTGTGAATTTAAACAAAAAAAATATAAAAGGAAAACTTCTCTGGTCCGAAAATTGAAAATGTAGAAGCACAATATTAAGAAATGAAAACTAATCATTTGAAAGAGAAATCTTCTCTCCAACTAAATAAATGGGTAAACTATGCATTTAGTACTTAAACTATCAAGTTTGTTCCGCTATAGTACTTAAACTTTTAATTTTTTCAAAACCGTATCTAATGTTTAGTTTTTATTTCATTTTAGTATCTCGCCGTTAAAAACTTAACATGTTTAGTATCTAAACTATAAACTTTGGTCCGTTTTAGTATATAAACTTTCAATATTTTTCAAACTAAACGTTAAATTTTGAACGAGGTACTAAAATAAAACAAAAACTAGTATTTATGTATGATTTTAAAAACATTGAAAGTTTAGATAATAAAATAGACCAAAACTGATAGTTCAATTACTAATCATGTAGTTTATCCTAAATAATTCGTTATTTAATTACGCGATCATCTTCACACAATATTCCTTAGCATGATTGTATTTATCATCGATTATCCTCTTTCCCCGTTATTTAATTACGCGATCATCTTAACACCATATTGCTTAGCATGATTGTATTTCTCATCTATTATCCTTTTTCCCCGTTGGTCAAGCGTACCGGACTCCACTGGTTGCGTGCCGTTTGCGTAACGATACGGCCATAATAACACCGCCACGGCAACAGCTCCGAAGCTGCAAGACGACAAGAACCCGACGATGCTAACGAACAGCACGGCGCCTATAGGGAACCACACGGGGCTAGAAACCAATATCAACGGCATAAAAAAGATGAACCCGAGAATGACGGCGGTGGCGGCGAGGCCGGTGAGAATAATGAGAACGGAGGCCAAAATGAAGAGGATGATGAAACCGAGAAGTTGACCGGAGTCTGGTGCAAGGGCCTTGACTTTCTGTAAAAAAGTATCGGACTTGCGTCTCCGATAGCTTGGACGATGGGCGGCCATGGTTGGGAGGTTGAAGGAGAAAGTGAAAGGGATTGAAATGAAATAGAAGGAGAAATGAATGGAGACCATTGCTTGACCTTTTCCTTTTTTATGAATGGTGGGTGTTTAACTCTTTATTAACGGTATAATCTACTTTGTTTTGAGATAATGCTTGCTTTTACCCTAAATATTGGATATCTTTTGGTAAATTATATGACTAGTACCTAAATTATCAATTTTTGTTTCATTTAAGTACTCCGTTTAAATTTTGAAGTTAATTTTTTTTTAAAAAAGTGATAGTTTATTTACTAAAACGGATCAAAATTGATAGTTTAAGTATTAAATGTCTTAAGTTTTTTAACGATAGGGTACTAAAATGAAATGAAAACTAAATGTTAGGCATGGTTTTGAAAATATTGAAAGTTTAGGTGCTAAAACAGACCAAAACTAATAATTTAGGTATTAAATGCATAATTTACCTTTATTTTTTTTATAAAAGCCTATAATTTTATTATAAAAAGAAATATACCGAATTATAATTGAGATTTACAATTATAATCGTAAATTAAGCACATAATTAGAATATTTTCCTAAATCATTGACTATACAAGGAAAGATTAAAAACAAAACTCGAAAAAGGATAGATACAAACATATCTTATCGCATCGGCAAACGAACTGCAAAAGGGGGTCAACATATTGAAAGACCACTGACAAAATTGCAAATAAGAGTCAAGCGACGTGAAAAAACTATCAATGAACGCAAATTAAGTATCCAAATATAATATGAGAGTCCAAAAGTAGAAAAAATCAGCATGATAAGTGTTATCTTGATCAGTCGCGACGATGTCAAATCATTCTTTAAAAAAATAAATAAAAATATACCAAAAGACAGAGAAAAAACGTGACATAAAGACAAACTTATTGAAAATTTAAAAGAAGAGAAAAAATGAAGTTGTAATATAAAATAATAAAAGGACAACTAATGTTATGTACCAGGGTTTTCTATTATAAATAGAGATGTAACCTAGACCTAAAATATCATTGAATAAAAACTTCTAGCTCCGCCTAGGCACCGAGGACGTAAGCACATTGCCGAACCTCGTAAAATTCTCGTGTTCTTTTGTTTTCTTTACCCGTTTTCGTCAACAATTGGTATCAGATGTCAGGAGCAAAATTCGAAGTCACGAAATTCGATGGTCAGGGTAACTTCGGATTATGGCAAACGAGGGTGAAGGATCTATTGGCGCAGCAAGGGATCTTGAAGGCTTTGCGATCTACAAAGCCGACGTCGATGGATGAGGAAGATTGGGAAGAATTGCAGTAGCGAGCGGCAGGAACCAATACGATTATGCTTGGCGGACGAGGTCATGTATCACGTCATGCATCTATCGTCTCCAGACGAAATTTGGAGGAAGTTGGAAAGTCAGTTTATGTCCAAATCCTTAACGATAAAACTGTATCTGAAGCAGCGGCTGTATGGGCTGAAGATGCAGGATGATCACGATTTGGCGCAACACGTGAATGTCTTCAATCAAATCGTTTCTGATCTGGCTCGGCTTGATGTGAAAATTGAGGATGAAGACAGAGCGATGATTCTGTTGTGTTCGTTGCCTCCCTCTTACGAACACATGGTGACTACTCTTACATATGGGAAAGAGACTATCAATGTTGAGGAGATTACTGCAGCCTTGTTGGCTCACAACCAGCGGAAGCAGAATGCAGGGGAAAGCTCTCAAGCCGATAGCTTATATGTCAAGGGTAATCGAGATCGTGGACGGAAGCCAGAGAAGGCAGGGTCCGGGAAGCGGAATTCCAGATCCAAATCCAGGGATAAGAAGATGATTCACTGTTACAAGTGCAAGGAGGCGGGACATATGAAGCGAGACTGTCCGAAGTTGAAAAAGCAGACTGATGAGAAGCGTGATGGCTCACCCAAGTCTGTGAACGTGGTCGAGGATGATAATTCTGATTGTAGTGAGGGTGATATGCTTTCTATTTCAACGACACAATTGACAGATGCTTGGATTCTTGATTCTGGATGTTCTTATCACATCACGCCAAATAGGGAATGGTTTTCGACATACATGCCGGTTAATTCTGGTTCGGTTTATTTGGGTGATGATCAATGTTGCAATATTGTTGGTATTGGTGATGTCAGAATTAAGATGCACGATGGCTCCGTTCGGACGTTGAGTGGTGTTCGACATATCCCAGACTTGAAGAAGAATTTGATTTCCTTGGGCACTTTGCACAAGAATGGTTTTATCCCTAAGGCTGACGAGGATAGGGAAACCATTCGGATTGTTAAAGGAGCATTGACTGTGATGAAAGGCAAGATGACTGCAGGGAATATCTACAGATTGTTAGGGAGTACCGTTGCAGGTGGAGTTCACTCTGTTGAGTCCTGTGATGATACGACAAAATTGTGGCATATGCGCCTTGCTCATCTTAGTGAACGTGGTATGGCAAATTACACAAGAGAACTTGTTGCATGGTGTCAAAAGCTGTAAGCTCGACTTTTGCAAGTATTGTGTTCTTGGTAAACAGACTAAAGTCCGTTTCAAGACTGCGAAGCACACAACTCAAGGGATTCTTGATTATGTGCATTCTGATGTATGGGGGCCTTCCACGACATCGTCTTTGGGTGGATCTAGGTACTATGTTACTTTATTGATGATTTTTCACGGAAAGTTTGGGTGTATTTTTGAAACAGAAATCTGAAGTTTTTGAGAAGTTCAAGCTGTGGAAAGCTGAGGTAGAAAATCAAACAGGACGAAAAATCAAGTGTTTGCGGTCTGACAATGGTACGGAGTACACAGATTCACAGTTCCTACAATTCTATAAGGAGCATGGGATTCAGAGGCATTTTACAGTGCGCAAGACACCACAACAGAATGGTGTTGCGGAACGAATGAACAGGTCGTTGAATGAAAGAGCCAGATGTTTGCGGTTGAATGCGGGGCTTCCCAAACACTTCTGGGCTGAGGCTGTTAACATGGCGTGTTACCTTATCAACAGATCGCCAAGGGCATCGCTGGCTGGGAAAGTTGCAGAAGAGGTATGGACTGGTCATGATGTTAGTTTTGATAACTTACGGATTTTTGGTTGTCCTGCTTATGTGCATGTACCTGCTGATGAGAGATCCAAACTTGATGCAAAATCGAAGGAGTGCATTTTTCTGGGTTACAAGAAAGGTGTCAAAGGATTCAAGTTCTGGGATCCAGTTGCGAAGAAAGTTGTGATTAGTAGAGATGTCGTTTTTGATGAACAATCCATGTTGCAACAGAAGCAAGACACGACAGTGGTGGATTTCGAGCAGTTTCCAGTTGAGAAACCAGAAACTTCTCAACCGACTTCTGGTGGTTCCACTACGGATGATTTGCAGGATTATATTCTCGCCAGAGACAGGGTGAGACGGACGAATATAAAGCCTCCGAACAGATTGGGTTTTGAAGACTTGGTATCTTTTGCACTTATTGTTAGCAGTGATGATCCGTTACTTTTCATGATGCCGTTACTAGTCAGGAAAACGACAAGTGGATGGAAGCCATGGTTGAGGAGATGGAGTCTTTGAATCACAATCGCACATGGGAGTTAGTTACCCTTCCTGAGGGTAAGAAGCCGATTGGTTGAAAATGGGTGTATAAGAAGAAACCAGTAGTAACAGAAAAAGAGGGGGAGAAGTTCAAGGCTCGTTTGGTAGCGAAGGGTTTTTCACAGCAGAAAGGAGTTGATTATGATGAAATCTTTTCTCCTGTGGTCAGGCACACTTCAATCCGAGCAGTACTTGCATTGGTGGCTAGTTGGGATTTGCATTTAGAGCAGATGGATGTTAAAACTGCTTTTTTGCATGGTGATTTAGAGGAGCAGATCTACATGCGGCAACCTGAAGGTTTCACTCAACCTGGAAACGAGCATTTAGTTTGCAGATTGAAGAAATCTTTGTACGGGTTGAAACAGTCTCCGAGACAGTGGTATAAAACGGTTTGACTCCTATATGATCAAGATTGGCTACAACCGATGTGAGTATGATTGTTGTGTCTATGTTAAGAGCCTTGATGATGGTTCTTTTATTTTTCTATTACTGTATGTTGATGATATGTTGATTGCTGCGAAGAACATGGATGATGTTATCGGTTTGAAAACTTTATTGAGTCAGGAATTTGATATGAAAGATTTAGGTGCTGCAAAGAAAATTCTTGGATTGGAAATTTGCAGGGACAGAGACTCAAGGAAACTGAAGCTATCTCAACGGGGTTATGTTGAAAAAATGCTAGAAAGGTTTGCGATGAGCAGCGCAAAACAAGTTAGCACTCCATTGGCGAATCACTTTAAGCTCTCATCAGAACAGTGCCCCAAGACAGATAAGGAAGCTGAAGATATGGCAAAGGTTCCGTATTCTAATGCTGTTGGCTGCTTGATGTATGCGATGGTATGTACTCGTCCTGATTTAGCTCATGCTATTAGTCAAGTTTGTAAGTACATGTCTAAACCTGGTGAGCAACATTGGGAAGCAGTCAAGTGGATCTTTCGGTACTTAAAGGGTACTGTGGGACATGGAATTGTTTTTGGGAGTCAGCGGGATAATCCTTTGGTTGTAGGATATGTGGATTCAGACTATGCAGGTGACTTGGATAATAGAAGATCTACGACAGGGTATGTCTTTACTCTTGGTGGAGGGCCTATTTGTTGGAAGTCTACTGTTCAATCTATTGTGGCTCTATCTATAACTGAAGCTGAGTACATGGCAGCGGCTGAAGCTGCAAAAGAAGCTTTATGGCTTACTGGTTTAGTGAAGGAGTTGGGTGTTCAACAAGGTGGAGTTCAATTGCTTTGTGATAATCAAAGTGCTATTCACTTGGCTAAGAATCAGGTGTATCGTGCTAGAACTAAACATATTGATGTAAGGTTCCACAAGATCAGAGAGTTGGTTGCATCTGGAGAGGTTTTGTTTCAGAAGGTACATACTGATGAAAATGCCGCTGATATGTTCACTAAGCCAGTTACGACAGACAAGTTCAAGCATTGCTTGGACTTGTTGAATGTTTCGAGTTGT